CAATACCTTCACTTTTGCTATCTTTCAAATTAATCTCAAAAACCCACCTCGGTAAGCCATCAGCTCATTCCCTTCAATGTCTAGTCCCAGGCCTTTAGCAATTTCAGATAACTGTGAAAGGCTTGGTGCATGGACTGCAGGCTCTTTGTAAAGCTTTTCTAAAAAAGGGATTGGAAAAATAAAGGAAAAACACATCATTTTTGTTACTCTTCTCAGACTACAAAACAGAAAGTTCAGATGAACCAACCAAGGATAATTTTTGATGTCACAAAGAATGTGGCCCAGTTTGTAAGCCATAAGGGAATTTTTTTTCTTTTATTTTTGTTTGCTGTAACTGTTGTCGTCCGTTTTCGCCTTTAACTAATTTCGTTGTCAATTTCAGGCGTCACACTCTGAAGGTGACCGCTGTCACGAACAATGACTAGAGATGGCGTTACTCACATGTTCCTCTTTCACGATTCAAGTAATTTCCATTTTTCTCCACCATAAGGTCAGCCTTTTGATGTAGGAATTGAAAATTTACCTCTAACTACAAGTTAAAACTTGCACTTGCACATGCCTTTTTGTGTATTTAGCTGGCAACTTTTCGTCAGAACTGCTCAAGACATATCAACAAAAAAAATATAAATTAAACTCATCAAATGGCGATACGTCACGCGATAGTTGTTCAACTACTCGAATTGAAAATGTTATCACTCATCTCAGGCGTGATCAAACTGGTGTTTTAATTTATAGCGTTGTATGCCGATTTAAAACTCGTAGACCATCCAAAGACGCGTTAATAAAAGAACGTTCTGTACGCGTTTGAGTGTCGATCGTTTTACCGAAGTGATATCATTCGCATCTTGAGGCAACTATAAACAAGGACCAATATCCATTCATTTGTTAAAATTAAAACACTTCAGTTCATAGCACCTTTACCTTTGATGCAACCCAGTTGCATACTTTTCATTAATAAGAAAATGTGAGGGTGAAACGTGTAAAACTTGGTTTCAAGACGTTATTCAAAGTGTGAAAAGCTAAGATACAGACGTTTTGCGAAGCGCGAGACTGTTGAAAGCTTTTATCATAAGATGCTGTACGTACCTTGATCTTTGCCTTCTGCCATTTCGATCACGGGAAAGCTTTCGAATCTAGAATAAGTCAACGAAAAGGCAAAATGGACGATGCATTAAAATCTGTTAAAATTGGATCACGATTATTGTCACCTTCTATCCCTCTACAGCAGAGCACTGAAGAGGGAGGTCACACGATGACGGTCACGCGGATTTGTTTACCTGTTTAAAAAAAGCCGGTCCGCACTGCGTACTTGTGTGTGCGTAGCGTTCTTCTTGCTTCTTTGAATTCTACTGATTGAGGAAATTAAACTGGGCTGCTTATTGGAAACGGGCTTCTCTAAAGGGATAGGGTGCTGTTCCATCCCCATTTTCTTCGCGTTTTTTGCCATCCGATCCCTACCCCTTTCCCGTTTACGGCTGCAACGCAGGCTATATATATTTGTTGGTGTGTTTAGACAATTCGCTATTACGTCACTCTGTACCGTTGTCATAGCGTTGCATCTTTTTTTTGACGAGAAATATATTCAGTTGTGGAAGACCTTTAAAGGGAGGGAGCTTTTTATACATCAAAGAAGGTATCTGGCTTATTATATCGTGCTACATAAAATCCCTGGCTACCGATTTAATTCGAGTAGTTCCAAGAATAACATGTTGTAAATATTAATGCGCTATAAATTAGGAGAAGTTTTCAAGGGAAGGGTGAACCCACAATGCTTATTTATTTCTTCTTTTACCCATGAGAGCATGAGATAAGAGAGAGAGGATATTCACTGATTAAAATTGCAGGCCGGCCGGAAGGGGTTGGCAGGAAAAAGGTCGAGTCTTACAAAGAATAATACGCATTTGACCTGGAAATTATCATCTGACATTGTAATAGTTTTGTGTTTTGATTGTCACGGCAGGGTTTTGAGTGAAATGTTGTTAGCTGCCTCTGTTTTCCTCTTTTCAATTGTGAATAGCCCGCTTGGCTCCACATGAACTGATAACAACTGATTAAGTGAAAATTCAGTGGTTGCAGAACCGATTTAATGAGATGCGATTAATTATTTAGCTCATTCAAGAGACCGTTCACAAACCCTCACGGTATTCGATAATAAAAATGTTTAACAAAACGAGCGGCTTGTCGTTATACACCTTAGATCTGGATATCATGAATTTCCTTTTAGGTATGCGAATCACATACCCTGGCATTCGATAATTAATTGTATACCCAAGATCTGGATGTCAAGAATTTCCTCTTGGGCAGTATATGGCCTACCGAAACGGCATGGTAATAGCCTTTTTCTTCGCGGCTAACAGAAATAGAGACAATGCTACAGTTGCTTTGGCCTCTTCTAATGGTCAACTTGAGAATTCCGGGTTTAATTTGACAAGGAACAGCATATTTTGTTCAAAATAACACAACTATTACCCTTCCTGGCGACACTCGACGAACTACGAACGAGTTGCCATATCGGACGCCGAGGAACCAGCCGGCGTAGTGTGGACGGAGTCTGAAGTAAACCACGACGTCAATAAGCACCACCAAACAAAAAATTAAATGAGCAAAACAAAGGCTGTACAAGTGTGTTCAGTAAACCATTGTTCACTTCATAGCCGTCCTCTGCAAATCAACAACAACGCAAAATGACCGCGAACGCGAACGATGAGTCAAACTGCTAATTTTTCATATTTCCATTTAGAATTGAACGCTGTCATTACATATTTAGCCTGAGCTAGGTTTTAGAGCCATAGGCATCCTGGAAAATTCAATTTTACAAGGCGTTATCCTCGCCGTCGCCGTCGTCATTAATAACCAGTTGTTAAGATCTCCATAGTTACATCTCCAATGCTGGAAGGTCGATACACTTGTTTTAACGTGGTGTCTGTCATCCTGAGTGGCTGCTTTGTGCTTTGTTCTTGTTTAATTTTAGCCTAAGACCAGTCGAACGCAGATGAAAGTATCGTGTAAAAACCGTAAAAATCACATAAAGTGCAGCTCTTTGCCAAGGTTCTTTTTAATTCAACGATTTAAAAGTCATCTTTCATAATCCCTCTTAAAACAATACCTCCTGGATATATAATCAAGTAAACTTCCTCAACCACCCTCCTAAATATCCTCCTAATATCCCTTAGATCCTCCATTTCATTAATCCCCCAAATAAACCTACACGGTCTAAATCTCAAAAAATCCCCTACATATACCTACACTGCTTACACCTTATTAGTCTTGTTACATATTATTAGATACCAGTCTTTTCCTTTTTCTTCGCGTTTAAATTTCAGTTGTGATCTAGTTAACGGTCACTTCTGAAGATGTATGTTGTACATACGAAACGTCAAGGAAATT